AAAATATATTCTAATTTTTAAAATTTTTTCATCATATTCTAGAGGGACTTAAAATTCAAATTATCAATATTGATCAAAAATACCCATTCCATGTTATACCTAAGATTATCATTTTCAGACAGATATTGAGGTTAAGCTTTACAGCCTAGGTTGCATGGTAATAACAATAAGCTTCTCTTCTGGAGGGTTAACAACCTAAGTTTCCAGACCAAAATTAGAGAAAAAGGGCGGCCGCAAGAAAGATAAAATTTTGGTCCTTGTCATCTATGGTCAATTAAGACACAAAATATATGAGAACTTCTAATGTAACGTCATGTAACTCGGTAGTTTCCCAAATTTTCAGATCAAGGAGATTATGGGGCCAAAGAGGAAAGTGGTGGATGATGTAGACTGTGCCTAAGGAGAGTCACATGAAGAGAAAACATACTCTCAGGCTGTCACAGAGAGCATATTGGCCAAGCAATGGCCATGACTCATCCACATGGCTGACACTGACAAAGGTTCTACAATCTGAGGCTCAGGATCTCGGGATAAATCCTGAGAGGATTTCACTGACCCTATCAGACTAAAAAGCTACACCTCTTGTTGCATAGGTCCTGCTTTATCTTGGCCTTAACCATCCAGCAGAAAAGTGTAAAAACGAAATATAAGAAGTAAAGCCATGCTGTTATGTTGAACTGCAGGTGACTCAGGTTAACAATTTCTGACATTGCCATTCAAGCCGAAGACAAATAACTATTATGGACTACTGGACTCTTTTAGAATATTTTGCAGAGGTAACACACATATAATATTCAAATAATGGAACTAAACCAAAAAAAAGGGATACAGATGAATATCCATTATGCCTCTGTGTATTCAAAATGGTTAGGATAAATATTTACTAACATTCTCTTAATGAATAGAGGGATTTGTTCCAATAGTGTTTGTAAATAAGATATTATGTCCGCATCTTGTACAGCAATTCACCACTAGGAAGAATGTAGGCAATGTGTTAATTCTTGAAACTGTCCTACCAATTTGGTTTGAAAATATCCAATTGATATTTGTTTATCAATAAAATTATGGAAAAAATGAAAGATCTTCACAAAGAATATTACAATACTCTTCAAAAAGAGATCATAGAGGATTTCAGAAAATAGAAAGATACTCCATGCTCCTGGATAGGAAGATCCAACATTGTGAAGATGGCCATACTCCAAAAATTGTTGTACAGATTTAATGCAATACTTAGCAAACTACCACTAACATACCTCACAGAGCTAGAAAAATCATTCAGAAAATTTATTTGGAACCAAAAAAGACCTAGAATATCAAAGGCAATCCTGGGCGATAAAGACAAGGCAGGAGGCATTACAATTCCTGACTTGAAATTATACTACAAGGCTACTGTGATAAAAGTAGCATAGTACTGGCAACAAACCAGACATCAGGATCCAAGGAATACAATAGAAGGCACCAAAAACACTACAAACACACTCAGCCACCTTATCTTTGACAAAGGGGGAAAATCATACTCACTGGAAGAAATGTAGCCTCTTTAACAAATGGTGCTGAAAAAACTGACTCTCTACCTACCAAAAACTTAAACTTGACCAAAGTCAATCACCATGTAAGAAACTAAACCTAAAATGGATTAAAGATTTAAATATTGAAACAGAAACACTAA